AGTTCCGCTTCACATGTAAATTTAATTGCTGGATGTTTGTTGTTAAACAGTTCTTCTTTTCTAATGTTCTGATCGACAATAATGAAAGTGTCATCAACGTAACGACAGTAGAAGTCAAGCTTATCAATAGCATCTTTGAGAGGTCCATTTTCTAGTTTCGCGAGAAAAAAGTCCGTAAGGATAGAAACCAGAGGTGAACCCATCGCTCCATCGTTCCATGTAACGTTGATTTAAGCCTTTATTATTCTTATCAAAACTAGTACACCTGTCATCACACTATCAATTTGTACTTTTCACATATTATGTTTATTTATGTAATCTATTCCATTGTTACCATTGACTCATAAACTACCTTGATTGGTTTAATAATTTCGTATATGCATATAAATATTGCTGTAGATTAGAATAAAGCCTAATGACGATCTAATCGAAAACAATATTGTTCGCTTATATATGTTGTTTTAAATTACAATATGGGAATTTTTCAAATTTTGAACTGCTTCTGCCATTCTTACAATAATAATAATAATAATAATAATAATAATAATAATAATAATAATAACTATATTTATTATTATTATGCTTACTTCACTCTCACACACTAATTTCTATTCATTTTTATTATACTTAACTTTCTCTGTCTCTTCACAATACCATTTTTATCGTGTAATGGTGCTCCTTTGTTCCAATATTTAAATGTTTAAGTAAATAAATGAAATAATCTAATCACATATAAGTTTGTGGCTACATATACATGAGGAAGAGAAACCGTGATTTGCAATTTCGGGGTTTTTCAACATTTACGGAAATGGCTACAGAAACTAATAAAATCAAATGACATAATCGAACCAGATGATAAACCTCCATCGTCGTCTATTGCTAAACAGTTAGTTGAAACAGGTTATAAGATTGATCTTAACTCAACCTTTGTGATTTTGCACAAAAATTGTCTAGGGGATATTCTATAGTTTTTTTGGAATCTTGGCCAAACGAAAATTCAAACTCCTTTTATTTGTTCAAAGACAGCTTTTTCTCACTTTGAATTTACCCTGGTAATATTATACTTATCCAGCGTGATGAGTTTCATATCATTTCAACATTCTTTTGTTTCTCATATATGAATGTTTTTAACAAATACATTTGTGATCAGATTGTTTGAAATCAATTGCCTTAATAATTCACATAGTTCTGATAATCATGATATATTGTATGGTATTTCACATAAGCTTTTTAATTGTATTAAGAAATTTACTTCTTAAGAGAAAGATATATTTAGGTTTATGTTGTTAAATAATTTTAGTATGTTTCTTTTTTATCAAGGCAAAGACCTAATTGAACATTGGTATCAAGAATCGGAAAAATATAAGTTTAACTCCGAGCCGGATAGTATCCAGGGTATAGGTAATTTGTATGAATTTGATGACTTTATATTCTGTTATAATTGTGTGATTTATGTATCTTGATAAATTTTTGCGAAATCTATAGTTTTCTCAGATTCATATATCATGATTTTAATCGTATGTTTTTACCCAATTGTTTATGGTCAAAAGATATTTCATTTCAAGAATGTTGTTTGAAGGAATATCATTACCAAATTCCTTATTTACATTAGAACCTTATCATTCAGTAAATTTTTTTGTGTAATTATCCTGGAGCAGTGAACTTTAATCTAGTTGTAGAATAGATGGAAGATGGCTAGTATTAGGAAGAGTTTCGTCCCACTTTCGATTCATCAGCTGACCAACGCGATTGTATTTGGAACAAACGGTGTTGGGTTCGAGTCCTTAGAGTGAACATCAAAATAGGACGAAATGCTTGTCCCGGATTCCAATGCTAGCTGCATTCTATACCAACTTGTCGTAATGTTTATATCAAGGCAATACACACAAGATGCCCATATGCCAACCAAGACTGATAAAATTTCAGTTGAAAATATAAACAACGGGATAATTCAAAACCATTTCAAATCTAATTTAGTTGATTGGAAGTACGATTCTAACCAGTATTTTTTTTATTGAGAACCATTAGTTCAAAATGGAAAGTGCACTTATTTTACACTTGAATAAATCCTCACATAAGCCCTGTTTCCATATTTGCGTAAATATAAAATCCTCTTCAATGATATTTTTGTAGTTTAGAAAATAATTAGCCTGGAGAATTGTTAAACCTTTTCTTTGTCAACTTGGTTAATATTATTCAGCAAGTCTCATTTTCTTTGTTCTGGGTATATTGTCGGAGGGCTAACACTAATAGTTAACTTAGTATAGGTCTCTTAAGTTCTCCCTATGGTTTGGGTGGTGAGATACGACGAACAAAAAACATGTCACCTATACGTTGTAAGCTGGTCAAGAAGTCTTTTCACCATATATGTCACTGAAAGTTGTACTAAGCAAGTGCATCAACACACTAAAGGGTTTTTACTTCACTACCGTTGGTAGGATTAGGGATCGTGATGAACTACTGTCCCCCGAATTAGCTACGTCGAGAACTCCCTTTCTTCACCACTGGCCATTAATTTCGTCTCACATATGGTCCCGAAGATATGTATTTCTGCATCTCGATTTTTCAAGGTCAGAATAGTACTAGATGGCAGTAGGATTTTTCACTTAACGTTATTTGAGTTATATATTATAAAAACTGCCTGCGTTGCTCTCTTTCGATGGATTTATGTATTGACACTAGGAATTATTTAATGGGCAAAATAATGGATTTCTCAGGTTCACGGTGTAAATGTAGTTGCTTAGTGACTGAATGAAAAGTCTCTGCCATCAAATGACTAGTTCCATCGTCACTTCCTGTTATTGGTTAGTATCATTGATTTATATCGAAATTGTATTTGTTTATATCTGAGACCTAAAACATTACGTTGTTACGTAATTTGTATTTATTATCGATCATCATGTTGATTGCTCTAGGTAATTTTACTCAAATTGTATGGTCAAGTTCTGAAAGGATTGGAGTTGGTATTGCAAGTCAATCCTACAAATCAGGAAAGGACTTGCATAAAGATTCGAAACTGATTTTGGTTTGTTTGTATCATCCTCCAGGAAATGTGACAAGTCAATTTCAAAATAATGTTAAAAAAGCTGTCAAGTAAAATACAGACGCATAATTTGAGCAGTTACTGAAACCTTTAATCAAATGAACAGATATATCCCATCGCATGCTGCTGTTCTCCAAACAACCTTTCTGAATTAATAATTTTATTTTTAATTATCATGTTTCTTCAAAAGTTATTTTATGCACCATCTAGATAATTTTAATATTCTTATTGTTTTGTTCATTTTAATCTTACGTTACTTGGAATGTATCAATATATTTTAAAGTTGATTTCGATTACTCTAAACATTGAATACAGGACACAGTAGCTGAGTGGATAACGCGATGGCATTTTAAGCGAACGCTACTGGGTTTGAGTCCAAGAGTGAACATCAACTCAGATGCAGGTACACCCAGCTGACGAGTCCAAAATAGGAAGAGACGTGCGTCATCCACTCCACTGCTAGTAAAACATTGAATATAATGTACTCGTAACACAATAATTTCTCTTTACATCGAAATTTCTATATGATAAGATTTTAAACTATCGTTTTCAATATATAAAAACAATTCACTTGGATTTACTAACTACCAATTATACTTCATTGGATTTCAATTAAAATAGCTTTATTCGAAAGTTGTTACAGTCTAAATAATCCTTCCTTTTTTTAAAAAATGATACCATTCGTAAAGTGATTATCAGAACTATTTGAAATACAGGGAAGAGCCAAGTAATATTTCGGGTAACGATCAGCCTATTTTCGTTAATATGATTATTTATAAGTTAAATAAAGCTAGTGAGCATCAAATTATTACTTTTATGTTCATGGTGTTTTCAGTAACTACAATAAAGACCTACATATTTGAAACATCTCAAAATACAGTCAAAACAGATCCGAAAAAAATTGGTGGGCTGTCTAAACAGATGAAAACTTAAGTTTATGGAACGAACAATACAAACTTGATTCTGACTAATTACTTGCTAGAGTTATAGAAGTATAATGTACATGTGAAATAAAATGCAGATTTCTTCTAATATATTTCTACCAAACGAAACAACCAAAAAAATGTCATATGGAGGTAAATCTAGCTTCATACCAAGCTGCATTTGCACAATATCTCTCTAGGTCAAACTAATGAGGAAGGCAATATAATAAGTTTTTTTGTATGTGAACCCAAAAGTTTGGTGGTATATCATCTGTGAGGAGTTTTACGAATTATAAGTAGTTGCTAATATTGGTTCCTCTTGGCCTTATTTGTTTGCATCTTAGAAGAGTCAAGTGCCATCGTGTTTTGTAATAATTGCTATTTGTTGTTTTAAAAGATCGAACCGAGGATCTACAAGTTTCGCACATTACTGGACGACTTAATTTGAGGTTAAAAAATCCGTAATCGTAACTTTAATCAGTTCGCGAAGTAGCGCGATGACCATCCATTGTAGGTGACGATAACTATCTTACTCCTGACATGACTAAGCTCAGTTAACAGTATTATCGAAAGTCAGACAACACTGGTCGGTCATTATTATTTAATAGTATATTTTATTAATATTCAGATAATTATACCTTGTTTGAAACTGGACTGCTGATTTGCTATGGCTGTTAATTTTCCTGCCCAATAATTATTGTACTTTTCGAAAGATTACTTACTACGCAACTTCCCACCTAAAATCCTTTGATTACACATAATACCACTATTCACATTTTCGTAATTATAAGAAGTGTCCACTTTTTGATGAGATTCGATGTAACACGTAAAACAAACGCATTCTGCATGTTGCCAATTGTCTACATTAATGCGGCAGCGTCATGATTAGTCGTTCATATAGGATCCATATCGATTTTAAAACCATTACATTCCATAACCAAAGTAATTGTTACTTCAGAATATCACTCACCGGACATTAAAAACTACGTGTTTAATACTACATATGTCAATCAACACGCCGCTAGGGCAAAAGCTTCTTATAGAACATTTACTGTAATTAAATTACCTTAAATAATACTGAACAATCTACGAATGTTATATTTCATATTACAATGTAGATATTGATAACTCATAAAAAGATAAGTAATGTACATGATACTAAGAGTTTTTGTTTTGTTTAACAAAATGCTCTATATCTTTATCACGTAGTAAAGCTGCAGACTTTGATATTGGTCTGATAATACGACCTGACTGAACTGTAACTTTGGGCCTTGTTAGCTCACGATGTGTAAGTTCTGTTGTCCATTCTCTACAAATAGGCTGAGAGATAAAAGCTTCAAATTGTTCTGGTGTGTTGTATGGGAACGGAATAGTTTTTACCTAGCAAAGATTGAAGTGAAAAAAATTAACAGAGGATTGCAAAAAATCAAAGACATTCATGAATATATATATATATGACATACCAAGTGTTGCTTGAAATCTTGGTTTACACGCCGTTTGATGATTACGTGAGGTTTTTTGTCATCTTCACGTTTTACTCTAGGAGCAGGTATAATTCTGGATCTCCGCTTTCTTTCATCAGCCTTTTCAGTTCCTGGACCTGTCCAGGAATTCCATCCAGGCAGAAATGTATCAATATCTTGAGGGGCCTCATCTTTTACAGTTTCAGATTTCTCTGCGGAAAACTTCTGTTGTAATGCAGGATCATTCGCAAAGCTTTCTTGAAGTGCATGGAAAAACCCCTCTGAATTGGGATCAACTACATCTGGTTCTGCAGCCACACTAGTATTGCACACTACTGGTTCACTTAAAATCATCTGATTGACTTCATATTTTTCTAGTACTTCTTCAGCTGCCTGAGTGGAAAGCACAGCTCCAACAGTTGTTTGATGTTCGGTCTTCGATTTGTTCTTGGTTGAGCCCTAAATGAAAAAATAAATGAGAACATTTATGACCACTCAACTATCTGAAACTGAACTATAATACATAATTATCACTTATTGAAAACATGACTGGGTATTTCTGAGTTTAAATAATGACACTGCAAAACGAATACCGATATGAAACTCAGTCGAGTAAGTTGGATTTTGTCGTAGATAGAAGTTAGGAGTCACACAGAGAAAAGTCAAATACAAGAATTGTTTAATCTATAAAGTCTATAAAAGTTATGCACTGTATAGGTAATCCTTACCAATAAATTTAAATTACAGTAATCAGAAGAGAAAATCATAAGGATACATATACATATGTATGCACCTTTTCACTTTTGACCATTTTATGTGAACCAAACTACACAAACAAGGTATATTTCGTCATAACTACACTACGCGATGTCAGTGGTAGGTTACGCATATAATAGGAAGCAGTTTCAGGTTCAATTGCATTCGATAAACTTCAAGTGTAGAGCACGAAGGTGAACTATGTAGTAAGACAAAATTATCTTTACATGCAAATTTCGAAAATCTATTATAATTGTACTATTGTACGATGCGACCGTACACAAACACAGTCAGTCAGTAACAACGTAGAACTTCGTACGTACGCACATCAGTTCGAGTTGCCACACCACATTAGCACAGAGATGCAGTTGTCGATTCAAACCCCGTAGTGGTAGAGGTAATAAGAGTATAAGCAGTGATCGGGAAGATTAGGGTTTGGAGATGTTACTTAAAGAGTATAATCCAGTGAAATAAATTTGGGAAGAGAAAAAAAGACAAGGAGGAATAAAGAAATTAGAATTTAAAAGAACACAGAGAGTGGATGCACCTGCGCCATTGCAAATGATTTTGAGCCATGTCAGTCAGGGTCCCTAATCGTCGGTTGCTATCATCTCGTGGTCCCCAACCAGGTAGTCTACACCTACCAACATGACTCAGTCTACTTGTCAGTGACTTCATGGACTCGTGCCATGTTTTGGTTTGGCCGCCCCTAGCTTTCTTCCAACCTACTCCTATACCACTGAACATAGCACGTCGAGGTAGTCGGTCGTTGGGAATACGTAACACATGTCCCGGCCATCTCAACCGATGAGGTTTCACTACTTCATCAACTGATTTGCCATCATTACCTAGTACCCGTTTCCTAACAACTGTGTTACTTACTCGATGGTCCCATGATATACGAGCAATGTTTCGAAGACACCTATGATCGAATACTAGTAACCTACGAATATCCTCTACTCTTACCGGCCATGTTTCACTGCCATAAAGTAGGACGGGACGAACTGCTGCTCAGTAAACACGTCCTGTGGTTGATAGACGGATATCTCGACTACGCCATAAATAACGCAAGTTGGTGAAAGCTAGTCGAGCCTTCTGTATCCGTGCTGAGATTTGTCACACACCAAACCACAAAGGCTGATGAGACTCCCAAGATAAGTGAGGCGATTGACACGTTCAACTACTTCACTCCCTATCATTAGTTCGGGTGTCAATACAACCCAATCCTGAAGCAACATTTTGCATTTCGAGGGGGAGAATCGCATCCCGAACATGCTTGCATTGTTGCTTATAATGGTCATCGTCTTCACCAAATAGAACTATGTCATTGGCGTATTCTAAGTCAACAAGTGAATCTCCTGGTAGAAGTTCAACCCCTGGAAATTTAGATGAGGAAAGTGTTATCTCTTAAAGTACGTCGACCACAAAGTTGAACAAGAATGGGGAGAGTGGACAGCCCTGACGAACACCACTTGAGGTAATCAATTCTGATGACAGTCAGTCAGTCAGCTACAACGTAGGACCAGGCACATATGTGCATCGGTCCAGGTTGCCATACCTCATTAGCACAACAAGATGAACACCGGATTCATAGGAGTGGTTAGGTCAAAGGTTGCAATAAGGATATAGTATAGGAAGGAAGAATTAGTTCGTAGAAAGAAAGGTATGAAGTGATTTTAATCTCTTAGTTTAAGGGAAGACAGGGAGTGTATACACCGACGCCATTGTGATCGATTCTGGGCCATGTCACCAAGAGTCTCCAACCATTGGTTACGAAAGTCACGCGGACCCCAACCAAGTAGTCTGCATCTACCAACATGGCTAAGACTAGAAGTTAGTGACTTCAAGCACTGATGCCACGTTTTGGTTTGGCCGCCCCTAACTTTTTTCCAACCATCCCCTACACCGGTTAGCATTGCACGTCGTGGTAATCGGTGTTCAGGCATACGTAATACGTGGCCCAACCATCTCAGTCGATGAAGATTCATAACCTCATCAACTGATTTACCATCATTCCCTAATACCCTGCGTCTAACCTCACTATTACTTACCCGGTGATCCCAGCAGATGCCAGCAATATTTCTAAGGCATCTGTGGTCAAATACTAGTAGCTTACGGGTGTCTTCTGCTCTTAAAGGCCATGTTTCGCTGCCGTAGAGTAAGACAGAACGGACTGCCGCGCAGTATACTCGTCCTTTTATTGATAGACGGATATCTCGCCTCCGCCAAAGGTGACGTAAGTTGGCAAAAGCCAAACGAGCTTTACGAATCCGTGCTGAGATTTCGTCAGACACCAACCCATTAGGGCTGATCAGACTTCCAAGATAAGTGAAGTTGTCAACTCGTTCGACTATACTGGCTGGAACAACCGTTCCTCAAGGTCCTACCATGTCAGACAGGTCGGTTGAAGAGCGGTAAGACTAAAAGCAACAAACCCAAGGTCCGAAGGCGAAGTCGTACTGCTGACTGTACAGAGGTGTGACAGCAGTAAGGTGTTTCCTTCAGACATCCAGCATGACAGCGATGCTGCCTTCCCACAAGGAGGGGTGGGGTTAGAAAAGGTCGACCCTAAAAATGCACACCTCACCTTACCCCACGGATTTCCGTCTCCGGCGGTAAGGCCCTTTGAAGAACGGAGCTAACACGTCGAAAACCTTCCACGAAAAGGCCGTGCGCGACCGGCCTCAAGCAGTTGTCCCTTGGGCACTGCGGTCACGCTCTCAGGTCACTGAGGCCACCTCTAATCCAATTTCCTTTTCAGGTACCTCCAGAAGAACCCTTCCACGGTGTGGGCAACCGGGAAGTGATAACCGCCCTCATACCTCTAACAGCACCCAAGACCATTCTGATGACAGTTCTCCATAAGCTGTCACTCGACCAGTTGTGTTCGAGTGGAGAGCCTTTATAAGGTTAGTGTACTTCTTTGGTACTCCTTTCAGTGACAAACACTGCCATAGAACCTCACGATCAACACAGTCGAATGCCTCCTTAAGGTCGAGAAATACTACCATTGCGGGGCGTCTGAATGTGTGTCTGTGTTCTAGAACCTGACGTAGTGTGAATATCTGATCTATACAACCACGTCCAGGTCGAAAACCAGCCTGATTTTCTCTAATCTGCTCTTCACGAGCTTTGATTAGGCGTCGAAGTATTATTGAAGCTAATGTTTTAGACACTATATTAGTCAAACTGATTCCTCTGTGATTGTCACAAGAGGACTTTTGTCCTTTCTTATAGACTGGCACAATCAGTGATTGAGACCAGTCAGATGGGATTACGTCCAGTTCCCAAATTCTACCTAAGACCTCGGTTAATCTCATTGCTAATACTGGACCACCATCCTTGAAAATCTCAGGAGTAAACCTGTCAGGGCCTGCTGCTCTCCGTCGTTTCAGATTTCCTATGGCTTTTTCAACTTCGTAAAGGGACGGAGGACCTACATTAACTTGCCATTCAGGTTGACTAGAGATCGTAGGATACAAACACAGAAAACTAATGAGCTGGCTGACTAAAAAGTAAGCACTATTAGACAATCATATAAAGTGTGGAAATGGGTACAGATATATATTAGTTCGAGTTGTCAGGCTTCAACATAACGGGAGAATTAACAAGATGTGAATCAAAAAGTTAACAACAACAACGGTAGTGGAGAAATAACCACAAGAAATATAGTTGATATGTGATCTCTGCTAACATGAGATTTCGGATAAGTAGAAGAGTTGATTGTAGAACGTACTCATTAGTTTATGCATCAAGAATTTAGTTACAAGTTTAAACTCACTGTGATGATTAATTGTGCTACCCGGTTTCACGAACCAAAGTAGGGTTCGAACCTATGGCCCAGTGGTCGAAAGTCGAACCACTAAACCATGGCGTAGCCAATATATGCATAAAATATATACTCCGTTATATTTAGTGGATCTCCTAGAGAGAAGCGAGCGAAAATATTCATGTCTTGTAGAAATATCGTTGACCAGCTAGTATATGTTGGAAAAAGATCATATTTTACCTTTTTCCACCAGCCGAGGGTTTGAGTAACTCCATTAACTTCCTCGTCGGCATCATCGTCTAAATTAAAATCAGACCCTTCTGATTCCCCCTCAGATTCAGATGATAAAGATACATCAGATTCGTCAGTATCAGATAGAAGGTCGGGATCAGTCCTTCTTGTGGTCTCCCTAGATAACTCGTGCATGTCTGCTACAGCTGCTCTAGCCTGGTAAGTTATAAGTAAGATTAACATATAGCTACCTCAGAGTCATACTTTGCTCTCAACTTCTGTAATTTTGCAAACTTGCTACCACCTCTATGTTTCAGACTGGCTCTTTCTCTGACTCTACTTAATTCGGCACTGAGAAGACGTTCAGCAAATTTCCGAGGATTATTGACCCGCAATGACTCCGTTTCTTTTTCATATTCCTTCATAGTACGTGCCTTCAAATGGCGATGAAATCGTTTGCTTTTAATTTTATTTTGACGCTTGTTACGAGCAGCAGCTCGAGCAAGTAAGAAACGTTCTCTGTCACGCATAGCAATTTTTTCCAGTAGCATCTTGGAAACCATCTTCGCTGCCTTTTCTGGAATTTCTTCCTGAGGTGTACTAAGAACTAACAAAATGGAAAAAGACTAACCTTGTGTCCATATCTCTATACAGTGCATTATATAATTTCCCCTGTAAATTTGTCGAATCTTTTATGGTATCCTTGACATAAACTTGCTCTTTCATTTTTGCAGCCTCTTGGGAGGCTGACATAACGATTTCTCTGTCATTTATTGGAAAAACGATTTGTTCTGCAAGACGATTTTTATGTACTGGGCCTTTCCAGAGATTAAGCTGACGTTTAATTCCTCTGAAAGCTATCCTTCTGGCTTGTCTTGCATCCTGAATCTCATCAGTTTCATTCAACACCTTGTTGTGTCTGTGGAACTCATTCAGAATTTTCCTTTGGGCTTTTTTATCACCTTTCTTTAAACTTATAAGACCCCATACGTTAGCATCCTCAACTCCAGGTGCTGCACACTAAGGATCTTGAAGCTTAATTTTATGCAGACAACTAACCTCCAACATCGTCAGTCAAGGAGAAAAACGAAACAATCGCTTCTGTTTGATCAGATACAATGATATCACGACAGAATGCTAAGGGGACTGGAATATGAACGATAGTGTTCAATAAATCCATAGAGAAAAAGTGCTTTTAAATGATATTACACAAACTTACATAAAAAAGGAAAATAAGGCCTGAGTTTAAAACACATGAGACTTGGGAGGTATATAATAAATCGCTCGTTTAATTTCCAGTTTGGAAAGAATAGAAGGCTTAATGACCTGTGTTAGCCGTGGCAAGAGTCGACAGATGGAGCTCCAATAACGTACTGAAGTAGTGAATTCTACTGGCTGATGGTTCAATGGGAAAGTCGACAGTCATCTGACTAATTTGTTCTAGGCTAGTGAAATCTTGTGGTGTCCTCGTAAAAGATAGTTTTGTCATTTCAGATGTAATTGAGGCTGTCACCGTCCTTTAAAACATCAAGACCAAGAACATCAATCAATCTACTAACATTCGAGATTATAATTATTGGATACTAGGTACAAACGCTAAATTTACTAAAAGTGAACAGCAGGTCATTGCTAGTTATTTACAGTTAATGACTGAAGAATGATGTATGTTATAGGGAAAATATTAACATTTTATCGATCATCAAGCAATTTAAGTTATAAAACTCTTAAAACCACAAGCTCATGGCTGGAATGCAACTCATGTCTGTATACAAACCATATGAAATTCAAAAATCTGCTAGATGTAATGCCCCTGATATACCAGATTTCTTAGAAACAGCGCTCAAGATAAAAACAGCTTTGAAATTTCGACACAGACGAAAATATGAGGTGCTGTAGCACCTATAAATGACGGTAGGACACTAAAAACCCATGAAAAGCCTGAGCAATATACCTAACGGTAGCCCAATTTTCGAAAGACTGCTCTGAGCTTTTCAATAATCGAGATGACATTGTGGAAATGCTTAACATTAACTGATTTTGTAAATAAACGTTCTCATCACACATATTTTTAATAATGCTGTTTTATTTTTCAAATCGTTGCTATCGTCCACAGACTAGTTAGTTATTTTCGACCGAATCGAACACAGTAACTAGTGATGTACAAATTTATGTCTGTGCATTTATATTTCCACATTATTAACTTAATGTCCCTTTGATCCAACAAATTAGCCATTGTATTGGTATTCTCACTCTTTTGATCAGTCACAACTTTTTTACCCAAACTTAAGTACTGAAGATGGTATGTCGAATAACGTGCGTTCATTCTCGCAGTTATTATTGCTTTGAAGGGCTAGCATTCTAAAAAAATTTCCTACTGGTCAGGGTTGTAATACCTTAAAGATGCCACAAGTATTCGGTGAATACGTCACTTTAACCAGTAACAACTTCTCTTACTGAAATGTGCCCACCCAGTTCAGCTTAAGTTTGGGAAGGACAGGAGGCTTGATGGCCTGTGTTAGTCCTGGCAATGGTGGTCTCTCAGTTGATCCAATTTTCTTTTGAAAGAGTCGACGGATGGAGCCTTAACCACGTGCTGAGGTAGTGAATTCCACTCGTTGATGATTCGATGGGAAAGTCGATAGTCAGCTGACAAGTAATTTGTTCTGTGCTTGTGAACTTTCTTGGAGTGTCCTCGTATATTCTCTGTTTTGGGAGACAAGAAAAATTAGGGCATATCAGGTTCAAATTTGAAAGCTGTAATCAAGTCGCCTCTATTTCTACGATATGACAACGGGAAAAGATTTAGCTTGGCCAGTGGAGAATCGTATGTAAGCTTCGCTATTCCGGGAATCAGTTTAGTTGCTTTTCTCTGAACCTTTTCCAGAAGCTCACTGTCTTTTTTAAGCAAGGGCTAGCCGCTTGTGTGCAGTACTTAAGTTTAGGGCGTACGAACACTGTATACAAAGTCAAAAACGTTTAAGCGTCGACATGACTAAAAGCCTTACGTATTGACCATAACGTTCTAAAACTTTTGGCGGCTATTGCTCGGCAGTGTGCAGTATTCTTTAGGTCTTGGCTAACGATAACTCCTAGGTCATTATATGTATGGACAACAGGTAGCCCAGTGTTATTCATCGTGTATGTATCTGTACCTTGATGACCGATATGCATCATAACACACTTGGAAGTATTTATCGGCAACTGCCAGGTTTGAGACCATTCAGATAATTTCTTCAGGTCATTTTGGAGTTCTAAGCTATTACCCTTACATCGTATCGTTCTCCACATCTTGACATCGTCAGCATATAGCAAGACCGATGATGATAGGAGACGAGGAAGTTCATTTACATACAAAAGGAATAGCACTGGCCCCAAAACTGTACCCTGGGGCACTCCACTAAGCACAGTTCCCCAGCTAGATAACTTTGAGATCACCCTTACTATTTGTTGACGCCTAACTAAGAAGTCTTTTATCCACATCAATAGATAGTCTCCAATTCCAACATTTCTTAACTTATCAAACAGCCGTTAGTGCGGAACATTGTCAAAAGCTTTGCTGAAATTAATGAAGGCTACGTCAACAGGTGACTTTTGGTCCTTAAGAGCGCACCTCCTTTCAAGAGCCACTGATAACTTGGTGAGACAAGAGTAACCTATTCTGGAGCCGTGCTGCTTCTCCGAAAGAATCCGGTTTCATCGAGGTACTTAAACAGCTCCTTCCGAACAATCTTTTCCAAGATTTTAACAACCACACTAGTCAGGCTAACGGGTCGATAATTCTCAGGTTTGTGTTTCGTACCTGTTTTGAAGACAGGACTTACTATGGCGTTTTTCCAGTTTTTAGGTAAACGACCCTGAGTAACGGATATCATTATCATTATTATTCACAAACATCTTATGGGTACATAAGTGTTGTGAAGAAACCATTTCGGGTTTCTTCAAAAAATGCAATAATACACAATTTTCAATAATGTTAGCATTATACCTTCCATATTTAAGAAGAAAAATTTAGAGTAATAATAGTAGAATATTAATAATAATAAATCGGGTCTGTGCAATTGAGAATATTGAATTGAGTTTAAAGAAGGAAATGAAGAAAATAAGGGAATAGAAATAAAGGAGACGTGAAATACGCAAACAGTCTAATAGGCGTGTTTATGAACACAGAGCAAGAATAAACGACTATGTGTGTATCGTTAAATTAGCAACAAAAAATAATTAAGAAAAAATAACTTATAATTGCAGTAAGATATGACGCTAGAATAAATGTTTGTGCAGTTATAGTTTAGAGTGATGCGATGAAAGTCTCAATTGAGTGAAAAGGATAATAAAATATCAATATGTATGATTAGTCATATATGCATAGTGAAGATAAAACGGGTCTGAGAATTTAGGTTAAAGCATATACTTAAAGGGTTCGCAACGAAGTTAGATTATTCCTTCAGTAGCCTAGGACGTAATTCATCGGGCCCCGTGGATTTACTTATGTCAAGCTTATTTAGTAGACCAAATACATCGAGTTCTTTAGTTGTCACGCTATCCAGTGTATGTATGGGGGAATCTGTATGCACTGACGGGAAGGATGCTTCTATGGTAGTTCGAGAACACTTGAGCATTACCATAGTCGTCCTCCACTAATGATGCAGCAGTACTGTCCCCCCAGTGTAAGAATATTTCCCCTTCTTTTTGTCTTTTGGTTTTTATAGGAGTACAAACGTTTAGGACATTCTATGGATTCCTCAACAATTTTTCTTCGTACAATTTTCTAGACTTACAGAGGGTCGAGGCACAGGTATTCCGAACTTTTCGATACTGAGATTTTGTCTCACCAGTCCCCAGTAACCTAAATCAATCCCACACTTTTCTTCTCTTATGGGGAAGGATGCGGACCTCCCTACTGGACCATGGTGGGTAGTTTCTCGGCCCCTTGGTATAGTCCAAGGGATGTGGGGTGTGGTGACTTTTAAGTATGAATTTCGAAATGCGTCCCAGGCCGTTTCAATTGAGGACTCTGGGTCTATTGTCCGATCTACTAACGATGCTGAGTGCATGATATCTGGTATGTTTGCTTTCCATGCGTGAGGTCTGGACTGGACTGACGCGTGCTCGTGATTGACAGTTATATGGAAGTCGAAAGTTAAAACTGTGTGATCACTTTTACCTGGGGGTGGCATATAATGGAGATTCGCAACGTCATCCTCATAGTTAGTCAGTATAAGATCTAGTAAGGATGATTCAGTGTCCGGATCGTACCTTGTCGCTTCTTGCAGATGTTGAACTAGAGCACATGTGATAACCCCATCAACTAGTTCCTGCTCGAATAAATTATATGACAATTCAGTTCGCAAAGTTTTCAGTCTACCATATGTGCATAAAGTCCCCTAGGGTTGGACATCGACCACTTTGTGACCAAGTATTGTGACTGCTTAACAGGATCTCATTTACCTCACAGCTTGGAATGCGTTAGACCAAACCAATCAGCAGCTCTTGTCCCTTGCATTTCAAGCGGCAACTAACTAATTCACACGTCCCACTCTCATGCGATACACAGTCGATAATGGAAAACGGAATGGCATTCCTAATGAATAGAGCTACTACCCCTCCTTTACGCTTTTGTATTTTATCGGTCCTTACTAACGTAAACCTTCGAAATCAAGTTCCATACTATCTATAGCCTGTGTCAGCCAGGCTTCTGTAACTGCGATTGTGTCTGGCTTTGTAGAGTCAATCTGTACACCTAGTTCCGGTCAATTATTAAGTAAGCTATTATTATTATTATTAATGGCTTTATTCAATATTATATTTTGGTACAATATAGAATTCTCAGCACAGGGTATTTCAACAAGTTACTTACTGAACAACGAACAAAAAGGCAGTAGCGAATACATAAAAAAATATATAAAATAAAAATTAAAAAAAACCCAAAGAAACTACAAACTTTTAAAATTAAAGACATGTTAAGAATGTAAGTTATTGACTAAGTTAATTCTAACAACCTGTTCGTCACAGAGTATATTTGCTAGGTAAGGTATTATAGAACTTTTATACTTTTCCTTGCGTGCAAGGATTTTAATGTAATTACGTCTCGTTCTACCAGAAGATATACAAGGAGAAAGATAAGAGTGAAGGGGATGGCTAGTATCTGATAAAATAACACCTGCCAGGAGTTTGCATGATTTTAAATGTCTATCCACAACCATATTAATAATGACCTCGAAAGATTCACCACACGTCTTACTAACTGCCTTTAGTACTCTTCGCAATACAGCAAAGTCTTTTCTGAAAATCCCGGGAAAGAATAATGGAGAACAGTAAAGAATAATAGGTAATATGCAAGAATTGACAAATTGTAAGAGAAAATGACGAGTAATTCCAAGAGCATGCAATCTCTTTATGTAGTAGGTCAGACGGAAAACCTTCTTTGATAACGATAAAACGTGGGAAGACCAAGAGAGATCAGAGGAAAAGGTGACACCAAGATAATCGACCTTCGACACCGCGTTTATCAAAGAGTCTCCGATGGTACAAGCACTATGGGATCACTGGTGTAACAGATCCGAAGCCTGTTTAAGTGGCTTCGTGCTTCACCCAGAGTGGCTTCGGCATCATTCTCTGTCGAAGCCTTACAACTCGAAAATTTACAATTTTCAGATTTTTTTCGCCAGCATCTAACCTAAGTTGTAGTTCTTTTTCGGCTTCCCGTCTTTTAACACGGTCTGCCAACGGTAAGTCCCTTCGGATAAAGACTCCTGAACCATTTAATTTGTGTCCATTCTGTAAAATTAGGTCACGTTCGTTCGAAAAGTTGAATACTACTTTAAGCAGTCTGGAATGATTTGGTTTCAAGTCCGCTAGACACCCTAGTCTGTACACCTTTAACAAGGTGACCCCGGTGATATTTTGAGGCATGAGTTGATTAAGCAGCTACTTAGTCAGCACAATGTCATGCTCAAAACGAGCTTTTGGTTCGGAGCTCTCACTCTTCTTGATTCTATGAAAAATACATGATCGGTCGCGGTGATCAGATTTCGACTTTTCAACTACTTTTA